CGCGCTCGGGGAGAGTGCTTTGAGGGCGCGCTCAGGCGCGCTCTGCAGGGTGAAGGCAGGGCACTGCAGGCGTGCTCGGGGAGAGGGCTTTGAGGGCGCGCTCAGGCGCGCTCTGCAATGCGCTGGCGTGCTCGCGACGCGCTTGGCAAGGGCTGTTGTTCTTCACTGTTTCTAGTCCACGTCTAGTTTGGTCAAGCAACGGTCTTCTTTTTTGGGCGCGCTCGCGCGCGCTTCCTGCAATGCGCTGCCACACTGCGGCGCGGCCGGGCACTTTTGGAGCACGCGCGCTCCACAGCGAGCTCACAGTGACCAAAACATAGACCAAATGGGAGTGATTGGTGTGGCCAAATAGGCTGGACCAAAAATGGACGCCAGCAGCTCAGCAGGCACAAGGGCTCAGGGTATCAAGACTTTTTTCTGGCATCTTTTGTTTGTTCAATGGTTTTGCCCTATCGCCATCATTCCCTCACTAGTTTAACATGTTCTGGGCTCCGGTTCTGAACGCGTTCATCCCAAGTAGGCAAAGGAACGCCGCAGGTCTCCCCCGGCCCTGTCTCACCGTCCTGCAGGCGCAGCCCACAGAGCTGCGCTGTCACTCAGCCTGATGAAGAATTTGGGAAGCTGATGTTCAACTACTATGTTCAACGTTCAACCAACCTAATGTATAGTCATCCTGGAGTAGATCGAATATGGACAAATCAACAACCAATGGATAGCTGATCATGTTTTTGGTTCATATTCTATCTACTCCAGGAGGTTTGTAGACATATGTAGACTATCAACTGATCAAAGTCTCGAGATGTAAAGCCACCCTTTGTTTTGTGTCAACAGTCTACTTAGAGCCAGAGCAATCCCCTGCAGAACCCAGAAGACCCCAACGTCCAAGTTGGCCCTTCTTGATCCCATCAGCGAAGGTCCCAGATGGCCCAGGCCAGGTAACTTAGGTTGGTTAGTGATCCTTTTGTTTGGGGGATATTGCAAGACCGTTGAAAGGTGTGTAGATGAATGATGCGTTCGACATGTAGGGAGGTGTCATAAAACTCATAACGGACAAATTGCGTTTGTTCGGACAGTGGTTCCAACTGAGGTATCCTCACCATGTATGCGTCGACCTCGTGGCTTGCCTCACTTGCTAAGTCCATCCAACCGATGTTTGCAGGGGAAATGGCTTTCTGGTGTTCTTTCTTTCTTCAACTTCTTGCTTTGTTCCAACAACATCCGCAGGATCGTCGAACGTGTTTAGGACCTCCAGTTGGACAGGAGATCACGGCGCTCTGGCTGCAATCTGCTTTCAGTGTGCACTGAAGAACAGGGGTTTTGGTCCAAAAAAGGTCCCTGCGAACACAAGACTGTTTCACGGCTTCTTTTGGGCGAGGGGGGTGGCCTCTTCAATTAGAATATGTTGATTGTACACTTGGGAGCGCATCCCAGCTAAAGCATGAAGGACTGTATCAAGCTGCCCTACAAGAGGATAGAAAAGGAACATATGTGTAGAACGGCCCTTGCTAATCAAACACTCGCTCTCTCTCTCTCTCTGTCTCTCTGTCTCTGTCTCTCATTCTCTCTCTCTCTCTCTCTCTCTCTCTCTCGCTCGCTCCTTGTCTGACACGTTTCAACTGACACTTTCCGGGCGCGTGCCCATGCGTGCCCAAGCCTCCTAGAAAGAAGCAAGACTTGAGTGGCTGCCTGCAAAGAGAGTGGCGAAGGGGCTGACAAAGAGCTGGTCAAGAAGCAAATGAACATCAAGAAAAAACAGGCGATTCCATTTGACGCCCCAATAAGCAAGACTTGGTTGCGTGCCTAGGCTCCATTTTCTGCCCTGCAAATGAACATCAAGGACAGACCTGTTTCGAAAGAGTTGAATATTAAGAAGGAGCCTGAACAGTGAGCGTTGGCCAGTGTTTCACTGCTGAAAAAGCTTTAGTTGCTTTAGGGCCTTTGGGCTGGGCAGTGTAAAAGGCAGAAACTTTCTCTTCCCCTCGCACTGTGAAGTCAGCCACAAACACACCGTGTATCCCAAGGCACCCCGATGCTCCTTCCAATCCACAGTTGTTCCAAGACCTGTTCCAGGCGAAGGTCTTCGATGGAACTAGGACAAGAATGTCTGGCGCAAGGGTTGGGCTCTCCAGTCGAGGCCTAAACAAAGAAAGGCGCACAGAGACGTTACAACGTTTTGCGCAGCCTAGCCAGGTCAAGTGTCCTACCAACCCTGGAAAGGGGCTTTCAACCACGTGACGACGTGACGTCGTCAAAATCCCAATCGCGCATGAGTTCTGGGCCCTTCAAGGCATGGCTGGGCCCACGTCGACCTTGGACTTCAAGGAACAGGTGGATGACTTGGCATGTAATTCACATGAGAGAGACAAAGAGAAAGTGTGTGTGCAACAAGGCAGAACAAGGACAATTTCCGTGCGAAGTCTACGCCTTAAAATTCTTTTTTTCTCTCTCTCTCTCTCCCGCCTTTCGTGTGGGACTGTCCAGCAGTCCAACCCCTGAAAGCCACTTTGGCTTTGCGCCCCCAAATCCATTCAGGCCTCAGGCCACAGGCTCTTGTTTAACCTTCACGGGCAGTTCTTTCTTGACCTTCTTCTTCTTCTCCTCTGCACGCTTTGAGTTGTAAGCTGCCCAGTTCGACTTGCCTGACCGCTTCTTCTTCTTCCCTGCCTTCTCTTTCTGCGCCGAGTCCAACTGCTGGCAAAGGTGCTCTGCCAGATCACACTGTCCGTCCTCTGACTCACAGTGGAGATCTCTCAACGATGTCATCACCACCTCTCTCATTTCGTTCAAACTAAGGGACATGGCCGCAGTAAAGGTCAACTCTGTTTGGCGCTATATATTGCAAAACCCTCTCCGCCAGGCAAAGGTTAGCCTAAAAGATGTTGCAGTAGTCTATATCTGTTTTGAACTATTATATATTGCGTTGAAAACACAGCTGTGTTGAAGACTGGAAAAGCTGCTGGCTACCAAGTCTTACGAGCCTGCTTGCTGTGCATTGAAGCTCGCGTCAAGCTTTGAAATGCTAGACTACCCACACTGCGCAGGTCCGATGTGAGTCCAAACTTAAGATTTGAAAGTGAAAGCTGTGCAGGTCCGATGTGAGTCCAAACTTCAAGCCCTGAAAGTCTATAGACTACCCCGCTCACTCAACAATCAACAGTTTTCCGCGGTGCAGGCCATCGCTCTTAGGTTGGAGGCTAAAGCTCTCTCGGCGCAGGCCACCACTCGTAGGTTGGAGGTCGAAGCTCTTTCGGTGCAGGCCATCGCTCTTAGGTTGGAGGCCATCGCTTGTCAGTCGCCAAACTCATAGGGGCAAAATGCGTCAGGGTGTAGCGCGCTGTAATGCTGCCAGCATTTCACCACACAGCACTTGATGCAAGGGCCGTCCTGTCCACTGTACCCCCAAGATCTGCTGACCGAGAACTTCGATCTGGCATGGTATGCTCGCCAGCACTTGTTGAACCCGTCTTTGTACGCCCGGAAGGACTCCGGAAGCAACGCCTGAAACTCCTCAGCGGTCCAAGTGCCCTTGCTATCAAACGAAATGGGCTTTCTCTTCTCAGGCTTCTTCTTCTTGCTCTTGGCCTTGGCGCTGGCCTTCGCCTTGGTGCGGGTCTTGCGGATCTGAGCGCAAACTGACGCTGCATTGGCCTGCTCTCGCCCGATCTTCTCTTTCAAGTCGCTAGCAAGCTCAGCATCCTCCTTGGAGAAAACATCTCGAACCTCCTCGGATGTCAAAATCTCCAGCAGCTCTTCGTTATGTGTGTACCTGTAATGCAGGTTGGACTCCATGATGTCTGCCACCGCTTCGGACGTCTGGTCAGGCAAGGATTTCTGGATGCAAGTGTGAATTGCTGGCCCCAAAGCTTCAACCTCCGACGACCCTCGAACTTCTTCTTGCCACTCTGCCTTGATAGAATTGAGTGGAGAGCCAAAATACAATTTGGCCAAGGAATGAAATATCTGGAGGAACAACAAACCCGATCGGAAGCTTGGGAGATGAGCAAAGAGGTAGGTAGGGCAGAAGACAGAATGGGGCCCAAAACCCAGTCTTGCTTATTGGGGCGTCAAGCCCAAAACCCAGTCTTGCTTATTGGGGCGTCAAGCTCAAATCAACCCGCATTGAATGGACATCCCCCGCAGTATTCGCTTGGCTAAACAGGAGCGCAGGAATAATCACGTGGCTAAACTTAGAATCACAACAACTGCTGACTGAACTTTGGCCCGGCCCGCCTTCAAAAGCCGTGCCAATGGATCATATCCCAGGTCCCAAAAAGCATTCTGCGCAGCAAAGCGCAAAAGTGGGGTCTTGCGTGGCGACTTTTCGACCCAGGGGCCTGGAAGATCTGGCACCTGAAGGCGCCCTGGCACCCGACCACGCTGCAAACATGCAACTTGCAAAGGGCTGAGAATTGCGCAGTCCAGAACATTCCAGTCTGAAAATGAAAACACTGATGCCCATTCGACAGCCCGGCGTGTCAATGGCAAGCAAATGCGCCAAAACACACCACCTTGGCATTCAACTTGTTCGCACGGAAGCAGCAAGGTCCCCGCACAACTTGGCCAAGGGCCCAGGGACACGTAAACCTTTCTAGAGCCAGGCATTTCCACCAGCAACCCTGCACGAAGAAACTGAGTCCTACAGGTATGGTGCATGTCATCGAAACTGTTGGCTTGGAATGCTCGGACCATCATCTGAAGCTCGCATGGGATGGCGCAGGAGCTTTGCCAAGTCAATGAAGGCCAGGTCTGTGTGTCAGTCACATCGTTCAAGCGGTCGTCTGAAGCTTGTCGCCGGTGAGTATGGAACAGGCTCTCAGGAAAAATGGGTACATTCTGTGTTGAATCTGGGATCACTTCCCTGAAGTTGTACGTTCCAAGAACTTCCCCAGCAGAGGCCGAAGCCCAAACCTCCCAGTGTGGCATGTAATGCTTACTGTTGCCGGTGCTCTCAGACCTTCTCATTCTCCCAAAGGCCTCCTCATTCCACGTGATGGCAAAGTTGCTGAATAGGTCTTTCAAGTATTGAATCAAATCGGAAGGTGCGTGCCAATCATGTGCCTCGAGGTATTCAAAAACCTCCACCACCAAGCACTGCTGAAAAGGCGATCGCCTGCACATGCCTTTCCAGAACTGCGAGGTCTTGCCTCGTGCAGCTTTCCAAGCCCCCCAGGCCAATCGCCTCAGCACAAAGCGCACACAATCCTATAAACATGGCCCTCAAACTGTGCACAACCAATGACTATATATAGAGGCTATGGTCACCATCCAACCAGGCAGCCAACAAACAAAGGAATGACAACAACAGGGCCCTCACGCATTGAAACCATGACAACGACAACAAAAAACAACTTAAATAAAAACCTTTCTGACCCAACAAGTGACATCTCTGAAATGCATTCTGCCATCTCGTCATTTCCAGCTGTCAAGCGTGCAAACTGAAGCGGGTATGAAAAGCAACTGTGCCCCATGTTCTGAAGCTTAAACTTCAACAGTTCAAGCACTGTCGTTGCGATCTTTTGGTAGAGCGCGTTTTGTGTCTGGCATTCAGCATGATCTTCCGTAATGGATTGTAGGAAGGCATTGTCCGCAACATCTTCAGCCAACAAAATGCCTGCCTCTCGCAGAACATTGCTGTCTGTGAGCTTGCTGATAATCTCCGTCACCACCTCAAATCCTTCGCCTCTAGCCTCGGCCTGGAAATGGAGAAGGGCGGCTTCCCTTCCCTGGACAGTCCGTCGCAAGTCATTCAACTCGTTGCTAACGGGCAAGCTGCAATGGAACCAGATCGCTGCCTCCCTCACTACATCCAGGTTCAGTAGTACCATGGCTGTGGCGTGGAGTTTGTTGCGGCAACGGGCATACAGGCGGTCCTTCTCCTGACGCAGTGACTGCAGTGTTTTGCCTTCTGCGGCTGGTTCCTCCGTCTGGGGTCGTTTCACCTCACGCAGTGGCAGGTCGCACAGGATGCTGTCATCTGCGCCAAAGTAGTTCATCTTTATCCCGTAGGACAACAAGATCAGGAGGAGGAGAGCGAATTCGCCCTTGAGGGTCTTGTATGTGCTGTGAAATTCGTCCCACCTGGATGTATTGCCGCTTCCCCCACGTGATCTCAGAAAGTGGCACTGAGCAAGCAAATCTCTGGCGTCTGAAATGGACATGTTGGGGAGGTTCTTTTCCCTTGCAATCCGCGGCAGCAATGACAGGAGCAGGCGCTCGCACCCACCACAACCCTTGTCTAGCATAGCCAGGAACTCCTCTGTCTCCTCTTGTATCACCTGGAACCATTTGAACTCTTGCCAAGGACCTCTCATGAATGTCAGGACAAAATCGGAAAAAAGGCCAACGCTGTAAGCTAAGGAGGCTCCTTGCACTGCATTCTGTAGCTCTCTGTGCAGCTTGTGCCGTGGATCATATATGCTGAGCAGTCGCATCTGCATGTGGTAAGTCAAGAAGCTGAGACCTGCTGCCATGTCCGAGCCCATATCTGTCACAGTCACCAATGTCTTTCTCTTCAAGATTGGTTCCTTCGGCTCCAAAGCCACTGCTGAAGGAAACCACATAGTGAAGCCGCCGCCAGTGATGGACTCCAAGGCGTGGTCCACACCCAGCAAACTATCAAAGATTGATAGCCTGGCTTTCTTCTTCTTGGGGAGTTTTGCAGGCGCCTCTAGATCGTGCCGTTCTCGCTCAGAACCTCGCACGAAGGCCCCTTCAAAGGAAAAGTTGTGGAAAACTGGCTTGGACCTAGACACACCACCAAAATGAAAGCAACATGGTGGAAAGTTGACAACCAACCTGGGCAACCTCCACCACAAAAAACATAAAAACATATCTGACGATAAAATTCCGTCGAGTTTCGGAAGAAAGCCGCTGTTGCAGCATCAAAGCTCTCAAGGGCTCTCTTATCCAACTTCGAGCCAGCTTTGCTGTGGCCACTGTCCCTGTGTGCCTGACCACGGGGCAGTTAGTGTAACGTCGCAAAACAGGTCCATCGTGGAAAACTATGCGCTGTAAAATTTTGGAGCAATCCGCGCCTGGGGGGGGCGCCCAGCAAGACCAACCAGAGCAGAGGTCTAAGCATGCAAAGTTTGTCCGCTTTCTCCCACCGCCGCGTGAGGCATCAAAGGCGACGCACACACGATTCGATCCTGCAAAAGCCTGCATGGCAGCCACCAGATATTGGCTGCGCTCCTGCGCCTTGTCTCTGCAAGTGACTATGGCCTTGGCAGCGGCAGCATCTGCACGGCGCCTCGCTTTGGTGGCAGCGCTGGCGCCCTTGTCAACTCTGTTCTTTGCACCCGTCTTTCCTTTGCCAAATCTCGCTCTGCATAGTTGAAGGGCCCTTGCACGCAGCATGGGGTCGCGAAGGCGCCTGCTTTCGAATGAAACTTCCAAGCATTCTTGCGGAAGCTTCAGAAAAGGAATCGAAGTGTCTGCCTTCCTTGCCACCCCATCAAGAAGCTGAGCGGCCAACCACTTCAGTTGTGGGCGCTGCGTCAAGAATGCAAGCACTGCACTCAATGGTAGCCAGCCACGTGCTTTCATTGGGATGGTGCTGCTGCCACCTGCATGGTCTAAACTGAAACACGCTGGCTCTGTGAAGAAGAATGATGAACCCCAAAAATTCAAAAACATGGCTCCACAGTTTTTGAAACATATCTGGCCTGGCATCTTGGCCTTGTACCCGTTGCTTTTGCAAAGGTCTGCCAATGAGGCCTGACCGTCATCCACCTCTAGTTGGTATGTTGGATGGTGTTCTCCTAAGTCAAAGTTGATGGCGCACTGCAAAGAAGGAGCCAGCCAGGCAATGAATTCCTGCAAGCCGGCCTTTGCCTCATCTCCAGCAACGGCCGTTGACTTGCCAGGCTTCCGGCTGAAGTGGGCCAACAATGTCACCACGAAAAGCGTGCTAACGTACACACGGTGCATTGAAACACTCTTGTTCTCTTTCTCTGTTCGTTCACTCCACAAGACGTGCTTTTTGGAAAGCCCTGGACCGTGCATTGACTCGAACATGGGGCACCAACTTTGTCGGCATTGCCTGGTGATGTCTCGCGCCCTAGAAAGCGGGCAAAACACCTCCAGGGGCCAGAAGAAACGAGGACCGTCTCTTTGGGAAGGGCATCTAAACGCCAGCACTGAGGTGGGCGAGTCTCCCGGCCAAGGTGGCTTCCACTCCTCGAAAGCGCGCAGCGCAGCACTCCACTGGTGACTGTCAGCAGAAAAACCTACGAAACGTTAAAGAACTACGCGCATGTTTTTTAAACATATGGTCTTGTGCTCCCATGACAGCCCCAACTATTGTCCTCAACACGAGGAAACAAGGCGGACTTCTGCTTCTGCACATCTTCCAGCCAAAGCAGCTCCAAGTCTGAGTCACTCCACTTCCGTGCGACAAAACGTCGCACAGGGTCACGAGATGTTGTCTCCCAAAGAGAATATTGGAAGATACTATTGCACCATTCTGACTTGCCATTGTTCACAACAAAGGCCATCCCATTTTCCTCGAAAAGTAATTCGGTGTCTTCATGCGCATCCAGAAAAACTTCTTCCCCCGTTTCTGAATGTCGCAGCAAGCACAAGTCTTTGGCGCGAGTAATCTCAACAAACTCCCTGTGTGGGAGGGTTCGGCAACGGCCCGGCTCATGCCTTGGGTCAGGTGGCCGGTCCATCAGCAAGGGATCTTTCTGTGTGGCGGCGTGTGTGCATGCGCATGTGAATGTGCGCGTGTCTTTGTTTGTTTGTTTGGTTTGCTTGCTTGCTTGCGCGTGATTGTCTGGCTAGTGAGGCTGGGCAGCCCTCTGAAAACATTTTGCGCTCTCGCTTTGTGGTCCCTCCGTAAACGTGGCCGTTCAACCCCTGCTTGGAGCCATCTCATGGCCCCTGCTGCAGCTCATTGACAAAAAACACAACACCCCGCAATGGCAATGACACAGCCACCCTTGCAATGCACCACTGCGATCACACAGACTTTACTGTCTCTTGGCTCATACCTCCACATGGGCCTCCTCTTCTCCCCCCAAGAACTGAAACTGTACCAAGCTCAAGTCGCAGTTCCAAAGCTGCTGTGTGTTTCAATACTTTCACGATGTGTCCAACAGCTGTCGAGCTAAGAGATGGACCCCAGACTGCACATTTAAGGTGGACACCTCCCACCTTTTCCACAAAGTGACCTCGTCGGCTGCAGATGAGTTTAGACTCTGTCCGAGGCACTCCCTCCCCCCCAAAATGTTCTGAAAGACGTCTGAGGGCGAGTGCGGAGGTGGAGGTCAGGTGGCTCACAGGGAAACCCACACCCCCAAACGCCTTGCGCGGCGAGAAAGATAAGAAACTGACAGCGTTTCAAATCCAAAGGGGCCCGTTGAAGCATGACATCCAAGGTCTCTTTCCACCAATCCTGCGCCATATGGGATTTCTTTGTTTGGGGGTGGGGCGATGGCTTCCTAGTGGGAAGGTTGCAGCTGGGCCGCTTCAGCTGATGCATCTGCCGCTGCCTCTGACCCCCTACAAACCGAACCCTGGGTTGGAAGTGCGTTTGGAGGACGTGTGAGCTCAGCTTTATGAAGTTGAATTTGGTACTGGAAACGAGACTTGTACTCTTGGAAACTACCGTAAGGAGAAGCTTCTAGCAGGTACCTCGGTGTCAGGATGCATTCTAGACGCGGACTAACTAAGTTAGGGTCGCTATCGAAGCCACAGTGCAAGTACTTCGGTGTCAGGTGTCAGAGCACATTCTAGATGCGGACTAGTTGGTTTGAGTTGTGTTTGTGCGCACGATAAATTGATTAGACGTGAGATACTTGCTGCAGTCTTGTGAAACGTGTGAACGTCTTGTGAAACAAACATGACAGAAAGAATGCAGTCACATAAAAATGTGTTGCAGTCGTGGTGTTCAATGTGAAGAATGAATTATACGGTATTTTAAGTTTACAGGTAAAAGTCCGTCAATACCAGGTCATCCGGATGCAACATGCCATGCCTGGGTGCCTTACCTAAGTGCCCCCGCGTGCAACATGAGCTGAACAAGTTACTTCACTTCGAGTGATCCCCACCATGACATTTCACTCAATTGCCATGGTGAGGAGCACGTTCGCCATGGTCGTGGGCTTTGTATTCAATTTTCTTGTGGGTCCTCTGGTTTGGGATTGATAGTTTTGTGGTGTCGCCAGGGTCTCCAGTTGGCATCCAAAAAGTGCTATAGCTGCTAGCCTGTGACCACCTGCCACGCAAAATGCGCCCCCCCACACACACTGTGTGTTTGCGATTGGGTTTTTGTGGTCGTGTGTGTGGTTGCGCGTTGTGGCTGTGGTTGTGTGCGTTGAAGCTGTTCTTGTGGTTACAGTGTGTTTGTGGCTGTGTTTGTCATTGTGAGATATTCTGTTTATGGTCGTGGTTGTGTATTTCGTATTGTGTGGCTGTGGTTACGTTGCGCGGTTGTGCCTTGCGTCTTGAAGCCCGGGAGTGCGCGACGCGGCTTTTGTAGCGCCCGCTGCAATGTTGCCAGGTTCGGTAGCGCCGAGCCCGATCTGTTGTGGTAGTGCCCAGTGCGATCTGGCCCTTGCTGTTGAGGCGCGGTGCGGTACTGCAATCTGACACTTGCTTGCTGTTGAGGTCCGGCAGTGTCACTGCGCTCTGCCACTTGCTGTCATTTGTTGGCGAGGGGGGAGAAAGCGAAGAAGCAGGAAGAGAAGAGCTCTGATAGAATTAGCAACCCTCACCCGGCGGGTTTGGTAAAATTGCAAATGATGCTCCAACCAACGGGGCCGTTCGCAAAAGCCTGAGTGGAAGCCTGCTAGTGTGCAAATATAAAGGGGTCTTCCTAGGCGACGTTGAATATATTATATATGTTATTACTTTTTGCAGTTCTGTAGCTGGTTGATGATGGGGCTTGCCCCGAATAGATGTACGAATCCTTATTGTACACTTCTATAGGGGGGGGGCCAGCCAACGTTTTCCCAGCAGTGCGACAAGTGCTGTGGACCAGGTCAAGTCTGGAGGGTGATCCAACTTGGCGCCTTCATTTCAGTGCCCAGACACAGGAATTCCCGGGCAACACGGAAGTCAGAAAACGACTTCAACCCTGGTATGTGTTGTAATTACCCACCTTACTCTCAGCTCTGGGCTTCCTACATCTCCTCCTGGCTCGGCGTGGCCCCGCAAAGGGACGATGGTGTCAGGTGGAGGTGTGCGTCGACTGACAGTGACAAGGCCAAAGAAACGGGTAAAAACAATAAACTTTCCCGGCGGATTTCCCGGCAAATGGCGGGTGAAGTTGTCACCACAAACTATAACCAACGAGGGGCAATATATCCTTTGCCTGACTTAATCGACAACAAGCACAGGACGTTCTGGGCAGGTTATTAAAGAGCTGAAGATGCCCCTGCACAAAAAAAGGGGTTGCAGTCCAAGTGGGCCTAGCCCTTCGTCACCACTCCGGCCGCCGCACTGCACATGACTATGCGCAGTTGCCCGTCGCCTTGGGAACACTCCCATCGCGCCACCAAACCCTCACCCAAGATCTCCTCGCTGGTCGACTTTGAAGCTGTATAGGGCTCAGATGTGAGAGTTGGAGCGGGGAAATATAATCACCCGGCGGCAGGTCAAAGGGAAAGGTTTGAACTAAACCACAGAATTAAGATAGGTTTCACGCGGGTGATGGTCAAGAAGCACCTTCCTGTCTGGAGGCGGGACATG